TGACAGTCTCTGTGGCTGAGCTGTTTAAAACACACTGAAAGTTTGATGGAGGTTTCTCCAATGAAGTGGGACACTATTCAAGCATAGATATCCATTGAGAATAGAGTAATAAAAAATATATATATATATATATATATATATATATATATATATATATATATATATATATATATATATATAGATTTTTTTGTTTATACGTTCTTTTTATAGATACAAATATTTAAGTAAATGCTCTGTTTATAATAAACAGTATTAATGACATTTATCATCCTGAATTTCTCGGACATTCAGACCGGTAAGTGTCGTTAATACTGTTATTATAAACAGAGCATTTACTTAAATATTTGTGTCTATAAAAAGAACGTATAAAAAACATAAAAAATGCCTTAAAATAATTGCCGGACTTATATATTTATATATATATATATATATATATATATATATATATATATATATATATATATATGAATTGTTCATATATATATATATATATATGAATTGTTCATAAAGTGCTGGTACTATTGAAACGATGCTCAATGTTTTATTACAGAGCTATAAAGTATATATATTAATGAATATAAATATCCCACACCATTTGAGCTACTTGGAATTTCATGCCAAATGTAATCTTCAGGTGCTGAGTGTGTATTGACTGTTATTTAATTTGAAAATATATCAGTTTATTGTAATACTGGTTAGTTAACCGCTATATAATCGTTTCCAAAGACTTAAAAAATATATATATTTCTTATATTAAATCTAACAACTAAACCAACAGATATTACAGTATGAATATTAAAGCTAAGTAATTATTTAAATATAATTATTATATATAAAAAATCCTAGTGAACCAGGTACTACCTACCTAGGTTTCACCTAAACAGATCTTCAGGGTAAGCTGGCCCTGAAGAAGATATGTCTTAAAATAATTGTTGGACTTTATCCATATATATATATATATGTGTGTGTGTGCATATATATATATATATATATATATATATATATATATATATGTGAAACAACCACTAAAAACTAAAATCAGCATAAAAACAGTTTCAGTTTTTCTTACTTACTTGATTGTTTTTTTTTTTTATTTGTACTAGAAATTATGGCATTGGATGATTAATTTCAGCCTACTCAGATGTTTTTAGTCCTTTCTTTTTTTTCAATTGTTTTTCCGAGATACCTATTTGTTTTAAAATTTTTATTTACAAATTGTGTTATCTGTTTTTTTTTTTATACCAACCGAGTATAGTTATTAGCATAATAATTATTTTATATATAATCGACTCTCCCATCGAGATTCGATGTATGAGGGTCAAGCAGATCAGTTTCCAGGAAGCCGACAGCCCAACACCGGCACATGAGATTTGATTATAGTGGTGAAGGCCTCGTGCAGGACCATCCACACTTTTTGAAGGGACGAATACAGAGACCTGGTGCACCGAATGCCACAAGGTTCCCAAAACGACCCTCCGCAGATTTTGAATTCAGAGTTGTCCTTCTCCTAGACCAGTTGCCATCCAAGGCTATAGAACCCAGTCTGTCCTGCTATTGTAATGGATAGTGGCTTGGATTGAGGAATCGCAGAGCCGAGTTCGAATTCCAGTCAAATCCATTACATTCACTTACGTGCTAATACCCTTGGGAAAGGTATGAATCCTCTTCCTCTCCCTCCAGCTATGGGTAAATTTTTTATATATATATATATATATATATATATATATATATATATAATAAATCTGTTTTTACAAACATGGTTTAATTTGTCCAGGAAATGGTTATATTTAAAAAAAGTGCTCAATACACAGTCAAAAACAAAATCGAAAGTGTAAATCTAGTTAAGATGTAAGATATTACAAATACTAAGCTTAACGTTTCTCGTGGTTTCTACCAATGAAGGTTTCCCCAAGCAGTGAAAAGGTTAATTGCTTTTCTATCACTTTATTTTTACATTCATGGAATTGGTGGGAAATTTATATATGTAGTAAATTGAGTTATTGCTTAGAGCGTAGATTAAAAAAAAATAAAACCTTCTTGAAAAAATTATCTACACACATAAAAACAGACAATCACACACTCAGATACATATGTATATATACGCAAAAAAACACACACACACACACATATATATATACACACACACATAAACATACATACATATATATATATATATATATATATATATATATATATATATAAACATGCAAGTACAGACATACACACTAATGTAAATTTGTAGATGAAATGTTTTTCTTTATATATGTTTTAATATCTTTGTGAACATACAGAGATGTTTGTAAGTGTAAACTGCATTTGTTGAATTTGAAATTGAATCATTTATGTGATTTTGAATTATTTATTGTTTTTTGTATGTAAGTTTGGTTCATTCTCTTGCAACAAAGAAGTAAGAAGAAAACTGAATAAAATCAATATATATATATATATATATATATATATATATATATATATTATTTGGGCTATTGTCCTCATCTTTGTCGACATATTTATCACAACGTTTCGGTCGTTGTATGTTCTGGCCTTCTTCAGATGGTTAGAATGTCGAACTGAACCCTTTATTTTGCTCACTGGGGTAAACTGTTCTAGTTTTATGTGCCATGTTTGATGTCAGTTATCAGTTATCTCCTGTTAATTTCCCTCTGAAAGTTCTCCGGGTATTGAACTCATACTCTTTGGGTCCTGTCACTGGATCTAACCAATGCCTGTATCCACTGTGCCATGTGTCCTTGAGGACATCTGGGTATGAATTTCTGGGTATTATAAACCTAATGTCTTCAGCAACCATTTTTACCAGTGCTCATATTGCAATTTTGCTGTTATCATTGCATAAATATGGCGACAAATATGAGGACAATAGTCCCAATAATGTAAATAATGTACATAATACCTCATCTCAGAAATATAGACATATATATATATATATATATATATATATATATATATATATATATATATATATATATATATAATATATATTAATTTGAATTTACTTCAGTGACAACATATGGATATCAATTCATTCCTTTGATTTAGTAAAATACTTTGATTTTCAAATTTAATAATTCTAATTTTATCTTCTAAACACAAGCCACACACATTGTAGCAAATCACTCTCATTCCCTTAATATTCCTTTGGTGAGATGTAAGTCTCACTCAAGAAGCCTTTTCCCGTCAATTACTGCTCTGTGGAACTGACTCCCAAGAGGATGCTTCCTCTGATTACTACAATCTTAACCTGTTCAAGTCTAGGATTAACCATTACCTTTCTCACATATATGCTTCTTGCTCTGTAACTCTCTATCTTGAGCGGTTCTTGGGCCTTGTACAGAGTGAACTTCATTGTAACAAAAAACAAACTATGTTTTAATGATAACTGAATTACTCCTCACAGGTCCCTTCACTTATACTGGCAAGTACATTGCCATGAAAGATTACAAGTTAAATATCTGCAACTGCTTGGCAGTTTCAAGTAGCAGAGTTAACCATTTGTCTGTCCTGTGCATTATGTTGTGATGTACAGGAGATGTGATTTCCATGTTCATGCATGATATAAATTTTTTTTTTTTTTAAGCATTTCACCTCAAGCAAGGCGGGAAGCCACTAGGACACAAGGGGTTACAGAAAATTTGGAGCAAGATCAGATAGGAGTGATAGAAGAAAGGATGAGGAGAAGGGTAGTGGATAGATCAAGGCAACTGGAGATGTTGATTGACATTACACTTGAATAGCTGGAGATTATAGCTCTCAGGGACACTAGAATAGGAAAGGGAGTTCCACAGGCAAGAGGTGCGAGACATGAACCTATTGGATTAGAAGAGACGGCTACATTTAGGAGTTTCGACAGTGAAGGGGTGAGAGCGGGATGCCAGCCTCGTAGGGCGCTTGAACTCATGAAGTCTGGGATCCAGCGAATGCAGCTCCTCGGAGCAATTGCCATGAAAGTATTTGTAAAACAGACAGAGAGAGGCGACGGCGCATCCTTGAGAAAGTGACTGTAGACAAGATGCCAGAGCAGGGCCAATTATATTGCATATCCGCCTCTGGAGCCTATCAAGAACCCCGAGGCAAACAGAAGGGGCTCCAGACCATATATGGCAGCAATACTCCATGCAAGGGCGAATTGTTGATTTGTAGATCTGGAGGATCGATTCCGGGGAGAAAAATTTCCTGGCGCAGCACAAGGAGCCAACTTTCCTTGCGGTGGACGAAGCAATTGACTTGACTCAATGTATTTGTTCCATCTCAGGTCAGCAGTCAACGTGAGACTGAGCAGCCACAGAGAGTTGAAGGATGCTTAAGAAAAGTGTCTACTATTGAGCAGGATGTCTGAATAAACTTGACATGGAAACCTTAACTCTTCTATTCCTGCTACATGTCCTGACTATTGAAGATAGTGTTTAATAATCAGCTATTCGATGCTTTCATTGTTGGCCCTTTTCAGGATTTTGGTGTTGGTCACATAGTATTCCCTTATGATGTTCAAGAATGAACAAAGCTTTTGCTGGTGAAAGCATTCTAATTTTATAAAATAGACGAAAATCCTTGCAGATACATAGTTTTGAATGACAAAATGAGAAAATTTTTATCTAATGTGTTTCGTCCTTCAAAAGGTCTTCATCTATTGCTATCATAATGTAGAACATTTAAGAACAACAGCGATAAAAAAAAAACTAAAACAGCAAACAAACAAAATGTTGGGAAACTGAATCAAGTTGGTTAACCTTTTAATCTAGGCACATTGGATGACAGAAATTTAAAATTAGATTTAAGGTTGAATATCTCTATATCTTTGGCATTCCTAAATGTTTTTATATGTTTTTGTTGCCTCCATCTTTATCAATAAGGTCATTATTTTAGTCTGATGAAGTCCTTTTCAATGATGAAATGCATTTCATAGAATTTTTTCCCATTTTATCATCCAATTATGCGCCATTAAAGTTTATCTCTCATATTTCATAGTTTATAAAATAAAGGAGAAGCTTGCGGTCATATCAATGCTAAAACACTGGTTCCTGTATGATCACTGAATTTAAGCAATGTTAAGCCTGGTCAGTATCAAGGTGGGTAACCACTTGGGAATGACAGGTTCTCTAAGTTTGGATGTGGGTCATATCAATGCTAAAACACTGGTTCCTGTATGATCACTGAATTTAAGCAATGTTAAGCCTGGTCAGTATCAAGGTGGGTAACCACTTGGGAATGACAGGTTCTCTAAGTTTGGATGTGGGGTCATATCAATGCTAAAACACTGGTTCCTGTATGATCACTGAATTTAAGCAATGTTAAGCCTGGTCAGTATCAAGGTGGGTAACCACTTGGGAATGACAGGTTCTCTAAGTTTGGACATATCAATGCTAAAACACTGGTTCCTGTATGAACTGACAATGTTAAGCCTGGTCAGTATCAAGGTGGGTAACCACTTGGGAATGACAGGTTCTCTAAGTTTGGATGTGGGGGTAGTATAATAGATAATGATTCGGAACTGATAATTAAAGAGCAAACTTCCAATTCCAGTTGGGTTTTTATATTCATTTAGGTGCAAATATCCTTACGAAAGGTATGAATCCACCTCTTTCCCCCATTCTTATTTCCCCCAAAAATTCTTACAATCTAAAAATATTTTCTGGCTTTAAATAACCTGCAAAGGGTTGATGAGCTGTAGAAAATGAATCAATCAATCACTGATTAGCTACGCAGATATTTCTTTTAGAATTATCTCCACTCTCTGGAATATAAACGTGTACAAACTACTGTGGCCACAAAGTGAGGGATCAGTTTATATACTGAGAGTAATACAAAATTGATACCCCACTTTATATTCACATTATCATTTTCCTTTTGTTTTTGTTTTTTATCAGATTTTGATTAGGTATGAATCTACTTCTTCACTAGCTATGGGTCGATTAGTAAAACTTCTATCCCTAAATAATTATATCCCTACCTAAAAAAATGTTATGGCTTTAAATAACCTGCAAAAGATAGATAAACAGTAAAGAATGAGTGAATGAATCAATCAATATAAAATAAAGGGAATGATGCTTGCGGATGGACCAAGTTTCTTGTATGTAGATAATAAACTCGAAGCCTTGATTTTATGCTTAAACACAGCGAAGAGGAGATATATTTCATTTTATGATTGTCTATCATGTGTATTTATATAGATATGTTATATTTCTATAGATCAAGCAATTCCTCCCAGGTTCACGAAGAAATTACAATCTCAGGTGTTAAATGAAGGTGACAAATTAACACTGAAATGTGTGGTTGAAGCTACACCAGATCCTCAAATTGAATGGCTTCTCAATGGACGGGTAAGTTACTGTGTTAATTAGCTTTCTAAATTCATTATTCATTATTAACCCTCACATGACAGGAAAAGATTGCACAAGCATGCATGCAAAACAAGTAATAAAAATGAGAAAATTTGTTTTTTTAAAGGGTGCTTTTTATACCTATTTTCATTTAATGTAAACATGTGTCTGTTTATATTTATATCTGTTTTGCAACATGGAGCCTCTGTGGCTCTTGCAAAATAGTCCAATTTTATTACAAATCCATGGAACCATTATACCGAGTGTAAGAGCAAAACTGTCCAAATCAGCATAATTGCCCGTCCCACAAAATGTTTAATATCTAAAACCCCGCCAAACTAAATGAGCTTCTTTTTTCCAGGTTTCCAGATTAGACGTTTAGCCATCTTGACACCATTTGTCGTAAGAATCACTGAAAGACCCTTTGAGTTATTCAGCTAGAAAGAGAACACTCTCTTTCCAAATGAGCAATGGTGAGAGGAAAAGGATGATTCAGGCCTTCAATAATGATACCAACATTCATACTCTGGCTTCCATCTTCAAAATTCATTCAAGAACCATGAAGAGAGCGGTGAATAAGCTTAAAAAAGAGGGAACAGTAGAGAGCAAAACTGGATCAGGAGGTCACAAAAGCAAGAGGGATCATCATTTAACATAGAGCTAAAGAGATTAATTAGAAAAATCCAACTCAATCCATAAGACGTTTGGCACATGAGAGAGGAGTTTCAGCTATGACAGTGAAAAGAGCACTGAAAAAATGACTTGAAAATGAAATCCGACATGAATCATGTGAGGCACCTTGTTATTCCAGGACAGGAAGTTATAAGATTAGAGACGGTGAAGATCATCATAAATAAGATGGAAAATGAACCTGGAATATATATATATATATATATATATATATATATATATATATATATATATATATATATATAAATATATGAACTTAATTTCAATCCTTAATGAGATTCCAATCCTTAGCTATGATTAATTAATAATGAACATGTAATTTTTTTATGATTGATTTCATCACAATTCATCTGTTAAACTTGGAGAGTAATTATACATCATAATTGCTCAAAGTAGAATCCAATAGCATTGTAAAAACCTTGGAGAATTCCAGTAAAATATCTTTAATCATTTCTAAAATACAACAAAAAAAGTAAATATTTGTTGCTTAAAATGACTGTTTTTATCATTGTCTTTGACAGAGACTTATTCTTGTGCCAATGTACATGAGTGCATCAATAAGTCTGTAGCATGGTACATAGCTAAAATGAGATCAGGATTTCTGCTGTAGAATGTTCGATTTGAATTAAGTGCATTGACAAGTAAAGAGATTGTGTTGAAAAATAGATATTTGTTATTTAAAATGTGTTTTTCATCATAAGATTACAGACTTATTGATTTAATTCTGCTTGCTTTATTGTTGACTTTGAAAGTTTCAGAGGAATGTTAATTTTTATTTTTCATTTTTTCAGATAATTAAAGACAGTGTTGCATCACAGACTTTTGTAAAGGGCTTATGCACCCTTCAACTTCGTGATCTTCTGCCAAGTGATGGTGGAGAATATGTTTGTAAAGCCAAAAACTCTGCTGGTGAAGAAACAAGCTTGGCCACTGTTCATGTTAGAGGTAATGTTGATAGTTTTGAACTTAAAATCATTCTTTGGTTGTCAGCAATAGGGGTATCCAAAAATCTGCATTACATATTGGGGATATCAAAATAAAGCAGATACTGAAATTTAACTATCTGGGCAGTGTAGATGACAAGAAATGTGAATCAGAAATTTAGAGTTGCATAGAAAGTTGCTTTTCAGAAAATAAGCAAAGAATTAAGAGATAAGAAAATTTCCCTAAAATCAAAGAAAATAGTGCTGAACTGCTATGTAATATCTAATCTTTTATATGGCAATAAAGAATTAAGAAATGGGAAAATGTCCCTAAAATCAAAGAAAATAGTGCTGAACTGCTATGTAATATCTAATCTTCAATATGGTAATGCATGTTGAACAATCTCCTCATGCCTTTAAGAAACTAAGCAAAGAATTAAAAGATAGGAAAATGTCCTTGAAAACAAAGAAATGATTGCTGAATTGCTATTTAATATCTAATCACCTATATGGCAGTGAATGTGGGAGAATTTCCTCATAGACAAAAAAGAGATTTGAAGTGACTGAAATATGGTTCAAATGACAAACACTGGGAACAACATGGACAAAACATGTGAGTAACAGGGAAGTTTTACAAGCAATAGAAACTACAAGGAAACTTATACATACAATAAAAAATAGTTTCAAATTCTATGGCAGGTAATACAGAAAGAGTGACTAGAGAATTTATCACTCAGAAGATATACTGAAGGACAGAGAATTAAAGTGATTAATCTACTTAAAATAAAATGGTAGACAAGGAAAAAGGGGTGGTAAAGAGTCAAAATTTGCTTAGAGTAACAAAAGATAGGAAAGTGTGGTGAGCCATTATCACCTACTTAATGAGTTTGTGTAAATAGATAGCAGAACAAGGACAAAGAGGGATGACAAGAGTCAAATGTTACTACGAACAACAAAACACATGAAGATGTGGAGAGCCATGATCACACGTTTTTAAAATTTTTAGTACAGACTTTGGATTGTAATATCAGAAAACTATGATTTTTATTTTTTGCTCATCATATCACTTGATCTAGGCTTTATAGTAATGAGATATTCCATTGTTAGTGTAACAATTAAAATTACTACTTGGGAGTATTGGCCACACGAAGGTACCATGAAATAAAATTACTACAGAAAAGCATTGGGAATGTTTTTGATATGAAAATGCATTGGAAAGTGATTTACTATGAAAATGCATAGGAAATGATTTTACTATGAAAATGCATTGGAAATGAATTTACTATGAAAATACATATGAAATGAATTTACTATGAAAATACATAGGAAATGATTTTATTATGAAAATGCATTGGAAATGATTTTATTATGAAAATGCATTGGAAATGATTTTATTATGAAAATGCATTGGAAATGATTTTATTATGAAAATGCATTGGAAATGGATTTTATTTATGCATTGAAATGGAAAATGCATTGGAAATGATTTTTATGAAAAATACATAAAATGCTATTGGAAAAAATGAATTTTATGAAAAATGAAAATGCATTGGAAATGGATTTTATTATGAAAATGCATTGGAAATGATTTTACTATGAAAATACATAGGAAATGATTTTACTATAAAAATGCATTGGAAATGAATTTACTATGAAAATGAATTTACTATGAAAATGCATTGGAAATGAATTTACTATGAAAATGCATTGGAAATGATTTTACTATGAAAATACATAGGAAATGATTTTACTATGAAATTTTGTCGGAAATGATTTTATTATGAAAATGCATTGGAAATGATTTTATTATGAAGATGTATTGGAAAGTGATTTTATTATGAAAATTCATTGGAAATGATTACAACTTAGAATGGTTTATTCCACATTAAATAACCCAACAGGGTATTAGCATGTATTAAAGCATGTCAGTCCCTTGTTAGTTTATTTTGTACCAAATGTGGATCAAACTCAGTAGTCAATAGTTATATTCAACCAGACTAGTCCTGAAATGAGAATTATTATGAGGAAACCATAGGCAATAATTGAAGTATTGCAGCTAACAACATTCAGAAAAGAGATATTTCATATCTTGCAAGATGTGGGAAATCCAGAGAGACTTGAACAAATTTCAGAATCAAATTTAGTGTTGACATTTCTCTGAAGAAATCAGGAACTAAAATAAATTCAAAACAACTGTGTCATTGTTCATTTCAGTGATTGATAAGTCGGCTCAAGAAAAGAAAGTCGGTGATCCACCTTGTGTTGTTACTCCACTTGAAGGCCTCGTGGTTAAAGATGGTGATCCCGTCACTATGAGTTGTGAAATATCAGGTAGGTGAATTTGCAAACATCCTCACTGACACAAAAAGTTTTATATTATACAGGTTTTAATTTAAGGATTTTACAAGTTTACTGATAAATTAAAAAATGAATCAACTAATAAAAATTACACATGGTACAGCGAAAACAATATACACAAAACTTGTGGTTATTTACATGATTTACATTATTCAGACTGTTGTCCTCATCTTTATTGTTATATTCATGACCTTTCGGTTGTTATACACTCCGGCCTTCTTCAGGATCTGTTTATATTTCTGAGATGTGGTATTGTAACTATTTACACTATTTATATTGTTCAGACTGTTGTCCTCATCTTTATTGTTATATTCATGACCTTTCGCTTGTTATACACAATATATATATAAATATATAAATATAAACATATAAATATATAAATATATAAATATAAATATATAAATATAAACAGATCCTGAAGAAGGCCGAAGCCTTCTTCAGGATCTGTTTATATTTCTGAGATGTGGTATTGTAACTATTTACACTATTTACATTGTTCAGATTGTTGTCCTCATCTTTATTGTTATATTCAAAAGCTGGCACAAATGTTGAAGCATGTAACATTCCTACAATAATTTGTGTGAGAGGGAAAAAGTCAACAATATCATCATCAAACCAGCTGTTACTTACAAGATCATTTTGAATATATGCTGTAAGACTACTCATGTACTTGTGAGCAAGTTTCCTTCTTTCATGTGATTTAAGGATAGAGTCTTCTTTATTAGTCACTGCTACAAATAATCATATTGACTTATCCAATGTGCTCCATATTGGTCAGACTATTTACAGTGTTGTCCTGTCTAAAACTAACAAAAGTATTAGCTGGGCACAACTCAGAATAAAAGCCATAGAAAATAGCCCCATTTGAAAAAAATCCATTTTTTAAACCTATGTCATCGAACCAATCTTCAGAAACGGCAACATACAAAATGACTATTCTGGGTTTGGGTCGAAATTTGAACAGATATCATCTGAAAAAAGCTAGAGTTTACAACTGATGAAATGTTATGAATTTATCAATAAAGACAACAGTTCGAACAATGTAAATACTGTAAATAATTAGAATACCTCATCTCAGAAATATAGACAGATATTGAAGAAGTGAATATGGCAACAAAGATGACAACAACTGTCTGAACATTGTAAATAGTTACAATATCTCATATCAGGAATATAGACAGATATTGAAGGAGTTAATATAGCAATAAAGATGAGGACAACAATAATGTAAATAGTGTAAATAGTTGCAATATCTCATGTCAAAAATATAGACAAATTTTGAAGGTAAATATGTCAATAAACAGTCTGAACAATGTAAATAGTGTAAATAATTACAATGCCTCATCTTAGAAATATAGAGAAAGCTTGTGATATATTATAGAAAAGGCATTAAATTTATATGAATATAATATGGCAAAAATATTTTTTCGTTTGTAATTTCTGTAAATTTTTGTTGTGCTAGGGTTATCTTCCTTGCACTGATAATGCCAGTGACATTGATGGCTTAGAGAACCCATTTTGCCTTCTATCAACATGGCTGATGCTCACCTTTAGTTGAGTAACACATTGCCTCTCCTTGAGATAAAGTTTTCTGCTGACATAAAGTGGAAAGTATATATTGTATCAATTGCTAGGTCGGCTAGGAAAGTTGATTCCCTGTGCTGTGACAAACAATTTTTCTCACCAGAATATGTCTACCATTCCTTGATGAATTGAATATTGGTGTCACATCTAGACTGATGTTTCTGTTAATGTATTTAGATAAAATCCAAAAAGTCAGCAATTTTATCAGTCCTGACCTGGCATCTTAGCTTAAACCCTTTTCCTACTGCCATGTTGTAGCTTCCCTTACCTTTCCTATAAATATTTTCATGGTAATTGTTCTGATGAGCTTTCCTCTTTAGATAGGGTATGCATGCTCATTGGCCCCTTTTATTTCTGTCCCTACTTTTCTTTAAGTTTAATTCCCCATCCCCTCCCTCGTTAGGTGGTCAGTGATGTCAGTTCACTGGTGGATGCAGGGTGCCTTTCGTTTTGTATGAGTGGTTTTCATATTTGTTGTTGTGTCTGAATCAGTGCATGTCTGTGTGAGTGCTTGGGATGAATGAATGTTTTATACTATTATAGTCTCGCATTGATTTCGGCCATTGAACTGATGTTTCTGCCACATTTAGTGATTGTGGGGGGTTTTATTACTAATCTTATTTTCTTTAGTTTCTTGTAAATATTTTTGTATTCATATTTGTAAATACTTATTGGGGCTAGCTTTTAGAATTGTTTTTTTTATTCCCCTCCCCCCCACAGACAATGAATTGTAAATATGGGGACTAGTTAGTATTTTCGTAGAGACAAAGAGGTATTATGGTGGTTGTAGTAAGAAAGGTATGTATAAAAGTGTTGTTTTGGTGAGAGGAATATTGCTCGTACGATTGGGTCAGTGTTTGCGGCTAGCTAAGTTATAGTTAAGACAGAAGAAGACCATCCTTTTCCCAATCCCCTTTTTGGCCATGTGCCACATTTCTGTATTAAACTGAATAAATATCACTTTCTTCCTTAGTACTTCAACTTTAAGCAAAGTACTAGATTGGTAGTTAGGTTTCATCATTTTACAGTTGATATGGCTAGATGTAATCATAAATTATATGCTAATAATTTTTTCTTTTGGACTCTCTTCCGGCCTTTTGCTGGCCATGAACATTTTTGCATCTCATCAGCATGATTGATGCTTACCTCCAGGAATCATTGCACTTTGTTGAACTCATGTTTTCCACTGAAATGAAGTGGAAAGATTATATTGAATCAATTGCTAGTTCTGCTGCTAGGGAGGTTAGTTCCCTGTGTCTTGATAGACAATTCTTCTTACCTGAATCTATCTTACATATTTATAAGTCTACCATTCAGCCATGCTTTGAATATCACTACTTCTGATACATATTTAGAGATCCTTGATAAAATCCAACAAAAATCTGCAATGTTACTGATCTTGACCTGGCATTTCAGCTTCAGTTACTTTCCCAACATTTTAAGGTGGCTTTCTTGTGCCTTTTCTGTAAATACTTTCATGGTAATTGTTTTGATGGATTTTCCTCTGTGTTGTACCTGTGGCCACTGCTCATGTCAGAGGTGAATTTGATAGTTTTGATATATATTACATATTGGAGATAACAAAATAAAATTTAACTGGAATTTAACTATCTGGGCAGTGTAGTAACAGATAGCAAGAAAAGTGAATCTGAAATTTAGAGTTGCATAGAAAGATGACTTTTGGAAACTAATCAGTGTATTGATATGAAAATGTCCCTAAAAACAAAGAATCTTCAATGTTACTGATCTTGACCTGGCATCTTAGCTTCAGTCACTTTTCCACCATTGTAATGTAGATTCACTGTTTTTTTTCTATAAATATTTTCATGGTAATTTCTCTGATGAACTCTCCTCTATGGACTTAGATTTTATGGATTTAGGCACAGTATAAGATTGGAGGCAAGGTCATCTCATTTGCCAGTTGAAATGGCTAGATATAACTGTAAGTTCTATCAGTTTCTTCTCTTTGCTCTTCTACTTTGAACTCATTTATGGCGTCTTGCTTTCCTTAGTCAAATCTTCCAAAGCAATGTCTTCAATCTTGTGTTTCTTAACTCCTGTTCTTTTATTTACTGATTTTTCTTTTCTCAAATTTTTCATCTTAGTAACAGTCAACTTTTTCCTTTATTGTAATGGTGAAATTATTAAAAAAATTCTTTTTATTTTATCACTGTTTTTTTAATATACACTTAAATTTGCTACCATTTAAAGGTACACATAGAGAAGTCATGAGGTAAACACAGGACACCCACAAAATAATTATACATACATATATACATACTAATACCATAAAAAAACACATCATCTCACCAACCAATATATACTAAACAACATAGAATTTAAAAATTGAAGCAACATTGTGCTGTCCAATTTGCAATTTTTTTTAATGAATCAAAATAAATAGTGAAAAATTTATTTAGCATAATTAAAAATTTGCAGAACTCTTGTCTGGCATCTTGCTTTCTAATTAACTTTGATCTTCAAAAATTGAAATGCAATATTAATCATCTTGGTTTCCTTGAATGTTGTTCTTTTATTGTCCTATCTCCTTAATAATGTTTTTCCTCAGGTCCTTTCATCCTTTGTCTAGGTAGCTTTATTACCTTGCTTGGGGTGAAATGATAAAAAAAAAACATCAAATTTATAAAAGTTTTCCTACTTGTTACTTATTTATCCCTTTGAACACGGGTTGCCAGTATACTGACCAGAGTCATGCGTGTTTTGTTTACAAATTTGATGGTCTTACAATTGACGGGAATTTGAATCAGCCGACAACAAAGGAAAAGGCAAGAAAGGTTTTTAAATTTAAAAATATGAAATATTTTTATTTTTGTGACTTTTACAGGTAATGTTTTCTTAGCTTACAATCCTTGTCTGTAAGTGTTTTTGTTTTTATTGTCGTCTAAGTGTCATGTAGCTTCATGAGGAAGATGGGTGAATGAGTAAATTTTTAAACTGCTTTGTCACATGTATCTCCTTACTACCTTGTCTAGTGTAGAAAATTTGCTTATACACCCTTCAAAGGGATCCCAAAGCATGTTTTTTTTTATTGCTGGTGGGAATGCGACGTGTTGGTTTTATTAAATATCTATTTTGATTCAAATTCTTAAAAAAATTTTTTTGTCATTTGATGTTTGACTGTTATTTTATTTCCGTTCATGCTCCTGACACATAATTTGCCTGGTTATTTCAGTCAATCACAGAATGTTTTAATGCTGTTTATTTACGTTCATGCTCCTTATAATATAGGACTTCCCCATACCTGGTTATTTTCAATCACAAATGAATCATGCTGTTTATTTCCGTTCATGCACCACATAATAGAGGACGTCCCCATAATTTGGCTCTGGTCAATAAATCACAGGACGTTCATGCACCACAAAATAATTATTTACAATCACAGAATGTTTCAATCATGCTGTTTATTTCCGTTCATGCTCCCACATAATATAAAAAACACATCATTTCTCACAATCACAGAATGTTTCAATCATGCTGTTTATTTCCGTTCATAAACAATATAGGACTTTCAAAAATTGAATGTTTCAACATGCTGTTTATTTCCGTTCATGTCCAATTTAGGACTTCCCTCATAATTTTTTTTTAATGAATCAAAATGTTTTAAATAGTGAAAATTTATTTACCACATAATATAGGAAAATTTGGCAGAATTTTGTCAATCACAGAATGTTTCAATCATGCTGTTTATTTCCGTTCATGCTCCTAATTAGGACTTCCCCATAATTTCTGGTTATTTCAAAATGTTTTGCTGTTTAAATGCTCCAATAATATAACTTCCCCATAATTTTGGTTTCAATCACAGAATGTTTCAATGAATGTTTATTTTTTCATTGTCCTATCTTCCATAATTTAATGTTTTTCAGTCAATCACAGAATGTTTCAATCATGCTGTTTATTTAGGTATATAGGACTTCCCCATAATTTTTGGTTATTTCAGTCAATCACAGAATGTTTCAATCATGCTGTTTATTTCCGAAATGATCCAAAAAAAAACTTCCCCAAATTTGGCCTGGTTATTTCAGTCAAAGAATGTTTTTCAATCATGCTGTTTATTTGTTCATGCTCCACATAATTATTTATAATTTGGCCTGGTTATTTTCAATGAATGTTTCATGCTGTTTATTTCCGTTCATGCTCCACATAATATAGGACTTCCCCATAATTTGGCCTGGTTATTTCAGTCAATCACAGAATGTTTCAATCATGCTGTTTATTTCCGTTCATGCTCCACATAATATAGGTTTTGTTTCACAGAATGTTTCAATCAAATGTTTATGGCTCTTAGGACTTCCCCATAATTGAGTCAATCGGAATTTTCAAATCTGTTTATTTCCGTTCATGCTCAACATAAAGGAAATTTTCCCCATAAAAGGTTTTAAATCAATCACAGAAAAAATGCTGTTTATTTCCGTTCATGAAATAGGACTTCCCCCCATTTTGGCCTGGTTTTTCAGTCAATCACAGAATGTTTTTCAATCAGCTGTTTATTTGTTTTTCATAATATAGGACTTCCCCAATCTGGTTATTTGTCAATCAGAATGTTTCAAATGCTGTTTATTTGTTATGCTCCACATAATATAGGACTTCCCCATAATTTGGCCTGGTTATTTCAGTCAATCAAAATGTTTCAATCATGCTGGGTTCAGAGGACTTCCCCCATAATTTGGAGGAATGTTTCAATCATGCTGTTTATTTCCGTTCATGCTCCACATAATATAGGACTTCCCCATAATTTGAGGAACAGAATGGTTCATGCTCCACATAATATAGGACTTCCCCATAATTTGCCTGGTTATTTCAGTCAATCACAGAATGTTTCAATCATGCTGTTTATTTCGTTCATGTCATGAACTTCCCCCCATAATTTGGCCTGGTTATTTCAGTCAATCACAGAATGTTTCAATCATGCTGTTTATTTCCGTTCATGCTCCACATAATATAGGACCCCCATAATTTGGCCTGGTTATTTCAGTCAATCACAGAATGTTTCAATCATGCTGTTTATTTCCGTTCATGCTCCACAATATAGGACTTCCCCATTTCAGTCAATCACAGAATGTTTCAATCATGCTGTGTTCATGCTCCACATAATATGGGGTTATTTGGCCTGGTTATTTCAGTCAATCACAAAATCATGCTGTTTATTTCCGTTCATGCTCCACATAATATAGGACTTCCCCATATTTTAAACAGAATGTTTCAATATGCTGTTTATTTCCGTTCATGCTCCACATAATATAGGACTTCCCCATAATTTGGCCTGGTTATTTCAGTCAAACAGAATGTTTCAATTTTTTTATTTCCGTTCATGCTCCCACATAATATAGGACTTCCCCCATAATTTGGCCTGGTTATTGCTCCAGTCAATCACAGAATGTTTTTGTTTATTTCCGTTCATGCTCCACATAATATAGGACTTCCCCCATAATTTGGCCTGGTTATTTCAGTCAATCACAGAATGTTTCAATCATGCTGTTTATTTCCGTTCATGCTCCACATAATATAGGACTTCCCCCATAATTTGGCCTGGTTATTTCAGTCAATCACAGAATGTTTCAATCATGCTGTTTATTTCCGTTCATGCTCCACATAATATAGGACTTCCCCATAATTTGGCCTGGTTATTTCAGTCAATCACAGAATGTTTCAATCATGCTGTTTATTTCCGTTCATGCTCCACATAATATAGGACTTCCCCATAATTTGGCCTGGTTATTTTTCAGAATGTTTCAATCATCTGTTTATTTCCGTTCAGCTCCACATAATATAGGACTTCCCCCATAATTTGGCCTGGTTATTTCAGTCAATCAGAATGTTTCAATCATGCTGTTTATTTCCGTTCATGCTCCACATAATATAGGACTTCCCCCATAATTTGGCCTGGTTATTTCAGTCAATCACAGAATGTTTTTCAATCATGCTGTTTATTTCCGTTCATGCTCCACATAATATAGGACTTCCCCATAATTTGGCCTGGTTATTTCAGTCAATCACAGAATGTTTCAATCATGCTGTTTATTTCCGTTCATGCACCCATAATATAGGACTTCCCCATAATTTGGCCTGGTTATTTCAGTCAATCACAGAATGTTTCAATCATGCTGTTTATTTCCGTTCATGCTCCACATAATATAGGACTTCCCCCATAATTTGGCCTGGTTATTTCAGTCAATCACAGAATGTTTCAATCATGCTGTTTATTTCCGTTCATGCTCCACATAATATAGGACTTCCCCCATAATTTGGCCTGGTTATTTCAGTCAATCACAGAATGTTTCAATCATGCTGTTTATTTCCGTTCATGCTCCACATAATATAGGACTTCCCCATAATTTGGCCTGGTTATTTCAGTCAATCACAGAATGTTTCAATCATGCTGTTTATTTCCGTTCATGCTCCACATAATATAGGACTTCCCCATAATTTGGCCTGGTTATTTCAGTCAATCACAGAATGTTTTTCAATCATGCTGTTTATTTCCGTTCATGCTCCACATAATATAGGACTTCCCCCATAATTTGGCCTGGTTATTTCAGTCAATCACAGAATGTTTCAATCATGCTGTTTATTTCGTTCATGCTCCACATAATATAGGACTTCCCCATAATTTGGCCTGGTTATTTCAGTCAATCACAGAATGTTTCAATCATGCTGTTTATTTCCGTTCATGCTCCACATAATATAGGACTTCCCCCATAATTTGGCCTGGTTATTTCAGTCAATCACAGAATGTTTCAATCATGCTGTTTATTTCCGTTCATGCTCCACATAATATAGGACTTCCCCCATAATTTGGCCTGGTTATTTCAGTTAATAAAAGAATGTTTCAAATGAATGTTTATTTCGTTCATGCTCCACATAATATAGGACTTCCCCCATAATTTGGCCTGGTTATTTCAGTTAATAAAAGAATGTTTCAATCAACCACAGCATGTTTGTTTATCTAATATTAGGTTGCCTAAAGTCGAATGAGGTGCACAAGTTTTCTTCAGTAAATTTATTCTAATGTGCAGCTTTACAAGATTGCCAGCAGGGGCTCAGGATTGAAGACATTGTGGGGTGTATGGTGGGGGTTGGTCAGGGTTCTAAAGTTTAATCACTGTTGTTGTTGCCTTATCAGAAATTATAAACTCTTATCATCCAAAGATTATATAATTAAATTATTCTATTTAATTGTTTAGGTTCTCCTAAACCAGAAGTCATTTGGCTTCACGATGGCAAAAAAGTTGAAGATTGTGAAGAATTTTCTTATGAAAATAAAGGTGAACTGTACAAATTGGTATTTGCTGAAGTCTTTCCTGAAGATGCTGGTGTTTATACATGAAGCATCAAATATTGCTGGACGAACATGCTGTTCTTGTACACTCAAAGTTGAAGGTAGGTATATATATATATATATATATATATATATATATATATATATATATATACATATACTCTATTACTGATACTGAGCACTTTCCAATAAGTACTGCATATATATAAATAATATATATAAAAATTGCATATATATCTGTATATTTATATTTATATACATACACATTTTACATATACATATATTTTTTTTTCTAAACATGTTTGGTTAATAATAATATTGATAATTTCTATGAGTTTTTAATTAAATTTTTCAAATTTCTGAATTAGTTATTTCATGTCATCGGAAAATTTTAAAAAATTGATTTTTATTTTTATTTTATAAAAAAAAAATACTTTTATTTTATATTAGTTTTTCCATAAAATAAATATGAACATTGGCAAATTTACCAATAATGTAAAATTTGGAAATTTCAAAAATTTAATTCAAAAATTAATACCGAACTTGTCAACATTATTTAACCAAACATGTTTAAAAGAATTATTACTGCCAAAATGCATGTTATATAACATTTGAAGCAATACATTTAAATAATGTTTTTGAAAGTTATATTATTCTACCTATTAACTATATCACAAATACAACTGAAAAAAATTTATCTAAACTCAATATAAAATTTAGCATAACTACATCTAAAACAATAAAAAACTTAATCAATACAAAACAAAACAACAAGCTAATACTTGAAGGAGGAATTTACCCTATCAGCTGCAATGATTGCCAGAAAGAATATATTGGAGAAACCTCAAGAAGTTTAAACAAAAGATTATAGGAACACAAAAAACGACATTTAAAAAAAAAAAATAACATGCAAAATGCATTGATTGTTCACAGTAACAAAACTGATCATAATTTTGACATAGGGAATGCTACTTTCATTAAAAGAGTGTTTTAGTGGAACACACCTATTCAAGAGTTAATAGACTCTCCCAGCTATAATAAGTAGGAGTAGTAAGAGTAACGAGTTGCTGAGTGGTTCGGTCATTCAGTCAATGCCAGACGACCATTAGTCGGATACTAAAGTATCAGCGACCACAACTAGATTTCTCTGCGTCATTACCTATTATATCAAATTCCTAACGTTTTGTATGTCGAACCTATTTTAGGACCAACTTAGTACAAATACAAGCCTCCACTGTGAAACCACTCCACAACAAAGAGAAAATAATCTACTAAGACAAAAATTGTCTGGAAAGTGCCTTGATGGCTTGTTTAGCCATGGTAAATTTGCTTCCAGGCTCTCACAATATATCACCATTTTTGGTAGATTTTAGATTGTCACAGTGTATGATAGACAGGGACAAAGGTGATGGAGAGAAAAAGAAAAAGAATACAGATGAATCTGGCTAGACTGAAAAAATATTCTTTCAAAAAAAAAAAAGAATCTTCTTTCAAAAATATTCTATTAAAAATTTTGAAGCTACCAGCATCTCTCATTTCATGCACATGTGTAGACATGGCAACATCAACAAAGCCCAGTTTGCTGACATCTTAATGGATGAAATGCATTACAAAAACTTTTTTCTATTTGTCATACTATTTTTCTAAATATAGTGCAAAAACCTTTTCCTTGATACCATTATACAAATACTGATTGGTATTTTGGTAATTGTATATCTTACTACGAATTATGTAAATATTGATTTCTCTTTTTGTCCTTATATATTCCAGAGCAAGTCTTGACTAAAAATGTCTTATATTATCTTCCAGTTCCTGATGAAGAAGTTGTTGGTCCAGTTTTCACAACATTTCCTCAGTCACTGAGTGTGGAAGAGGGTACACCAGTCAAATTCAGTTGCAGTTTTGAAAATAACTCAGTTAAAGGTGAGTGAAGAAATCAGGTATAGACAGTTGAAATTTCTAAGGCATGTAATGAGGAAAGAGGGCTTGGAAAATTTGATACTCACAGGACAGATTGAAGGCAAGCATGCCAGAGGAAAACAATGTATGACCTACCTAGCAAACTTGAGCAAATGGATGACAGAACAAGATTTAGAAGAGAGCGCAAAAAGACAAAATTTATTAAGGACAGGAAATTGTGGAGAGCCATAATTGCATAATTCCTGATGTTACAAGGTACATAGATTTGGTTTGGTTTGTTTTGTTTTACAGCATAGCAACCTCAGTGGGTCATTTAATGCCGATAACTTTTTTTTCAGGTAATATTTTTGTTTTATCAAAAATCCATTTCCGGTAATAGTTTTTTTTTTTCAAAAATTTATTTCTGGTAATAATATTTTACAAAGTATTTCTGGTATTAAAACATATTTTTATGCTTTCATAGTGTTTTTACCCCAGTATCGGGGTTAACTATTTGCTCATAGCTGGGACCCAAACAGGTGCTACCACCCCGGGTCAGGGTGGAACTGGGAACACCAGCAATTAAGAGGTGGTTCCACGTTCATCAAAACCTCTTGATCAGAGGCCTTGCTGTTGGATGTAGTTTATCATCTTACCCAGGACATGGATGTAGTTTATCGTCATACCCAGGACAGAAGGTACATAGAAGAAGAAAAAAATGAAGATTAAATGAATATCAGAAGAAGGTTTAGGAGAGATAACAAAAAGACAAAATTTATTAAGACCTACAAAGGACAGGGAATTGTGTTGTGGAGAGCAGGGCTAGTGCAAGGGTCCCATGGGCCTCCAGCCTAACTATAGTTTTTCCATCAGCTCTTTGCCTGTATATGGCATTTCATCACAGCTATGTCCAGTGCTACAATCCACTAGAAGAAAAACCATGCCATATTTATCTGGCTTTGAAGGTAGATATTGCCTGAATGGGCATCTTTCTCTGAAGGGAATGAGATGTTCATTGATGCACAAAAGTTCTGAAAGATTATAGTTCTTTTTGCACTGCGAAATAAACAAATCCTATAAGGTATAGATTGGAGCAAACTTATCACATTTCCTCCTCTTCTGCCAAGTATCTAAGTTATGAAAATGAATGCACTGAGTAATTTCTTTGAGGCAAAACTGTAAACAGATTAGTCAGAAGTAAGCCACTTCCTGCAAACTGTTGCTCTGTGGAACTGGCTCTCAAGAGCATGTTTCCTCTGATCAAGACAATTGGAGTCACTGCCTGGCCATGTTTTCTATTGTTGTTGATGATGATGATTTATTTGAAGTTGCCGACTGGCCATGTCTTCTGTTGTTGTTGATGTTGATTTGTTTGAAGTTGCAGACTAGCTATGCCTTCTGTTGCCGATGATGATTCATTTGAAATCACCATCATCTGTTTCTTTAAGCATGCACCGTGGGGAGACAATCACATCTCTGCTCTGAAAGTTGAAATCTCTAGGTTTCTATAAGAAATTTCTTTTGAAAGTAGGCTTGATAAAAATAAGCTTTCTCTGATTGGTCAAATATTTCACATGGTGATATTAACTTCTTACCAAGAGAAACTTTGAGTTAAACAGTGTGTGTTGTATTGTGGGAGCTTTTATTCACATGTTTGCAAATATTTCTTGTTATTGGGTAGAAAATAAAAATTTGGGCATGTTTTAATATGGTATGTAAATAGGTATTTAAGTGTGTTAGAAATAGGGGTTATTTTGAATAGTTTAGACCTTGTTGACATAGAATTGTGAGAGCAATAAACTGCCTTAGATTGATACTAAACCTTGCTCTCTGAGATTACTTTGTGACCTGCAGTCTGTTGTTAACTGGGGAAAAGGATGGCTTGGTAACTTTAATGCTTCCAAAATTAAACTGCTCTCTATTAACCATTTGAGAGATCCTTCTCTGCCCATCATCAGCATGGCTGATGCTAACCTTCAGGAGAGTGACTCATTGTGCCTTCACGGGCTAACATTCTCGGCTGACATGAAGTGGAAAGACTATATTGAATGTGTTGCTGGTGAGCTGCTAAGAAGGTTGGTTCACTGTGTCATGCTAGACACCTTTTAACTCCAGAATCTATCTTACATATCTATAAGTCTACCATTCGTCCATGCTTAGAATATTGCTGTATACCATACTGTCACAGCTACAATACCTCTTTACCTATTATATCACATGTCATCCTGCTGAGTTAATTTCTACAATATGGGGTGATAAATATTTTCCAATTTGTCACTAATCTTTTCATATTTCATTTCATTTATTTCTTCTCTAAATGTAATTGTTCTGATTTATTGTGTTTTCTTGAAAACTTTCAAATAGTTGTCTGGAAAAAGAATGGCACAGAAATTGAGAACACAGGACGGTTTAAGTTCTTTGGAAATGGCAACAAGTTTAGCTTTGAAATACCAGCAGCACTAGAGACAGACACAGGTGTCTATTGCGTTTTGGCAAGTGATGGTGTGGATTCTGATTCACAATGGACATTCTCTCTAAATGTCACTGTCACAGATACAGCTGGAACGGCACATGTTGATGTACAAGAACTTCTAAAATCCATCCAGGTAAGAGATTTTTTTTCTTTCTCTTTTTTTTTTTGAAAAGATCAGCCTGTTTCCTCACATTGCAAACTAAAATGACTTCTTTCCTATCATTTATTATGACGTTTGGCAAGTTTATTTAGCATCTGCCATGCTTTAGTTGTTGACCATAAACTTTTTAGCCCTCCACCTCTATTTTCCTTTTCCTCTCTTAGTTCCACCATTACAGCTAGGAACCGTCATGTTCTGTGCATATTGTAACAAACCACTCAGTGTGCAATCTCATATTGAACAACTAAAATAGAATGCTATAGATACGTATGTTCCATTGTGTAAGCAAAGGTGAGATGACATTATTTACATTATTCAGACTATTGTTCTCATCTTTGTCGCCATATTTATTACAACGTTTCGCATCATGACTTTTTGAATTTAAGTGCAATACTAGATTGGAGACAAAGTCTCATCAATTTACAGCTGAGCTGATTTAGAGTATCCATAAATTCTATGCTAAGAGATTCAGAATATCCGTAAATTCTATACTAACAGTTTCTTTTCTCACACTTCTTGCTTGTTGTTGTAACCTAGGGAAGGTTACTGAATAGAATAATCACATGAAGGTTGGTAATGAACAATAATACTTAGGACAAGAACAACACATATAAGATTTTCCAGCAGCACTTAGAAGAAATAGTCAACTGCTAGAAGTGAGTCAAGTGAATTCCACAATAAATCTCCAACTGCAGGATATCTACCAAATGCCCCATGCAGACAAATGTGGCAAAAGGGCAAATTTAATGTGGGGTATCCTATCCCGTATGCTCAGCCAAAAATTCCCCATAGACCCCATATAAAATGGAGTCATGTAGCTGTTTCCCAAGATGAGATTCTGCCCCTTGACATAGCCTTGTTTGGGGATCCTCTTTGCCCAGAGATAGTGAGTTTGACCAGCACAGCTGGAGACAAATCTCCAACTGCAGACCAACATACATTTTTTATTATTGTATTTATGAAAATGGGAACATACACATTATTGTCCATAGGTATGCTACAACACTTGTTGAACTCCCTTCTGGCTCCTTGCTTTCCAGCCAACTTTAATTTGCAAAAATTTAAATGCATTGTCAATCGCTATCTACTGTCCTTCCAATTACTCTTCTTTTGTTCTTGCTCCTTAGCAGTGTTTCTGCTTCTAACTCTTCCATACCTGGAAACTCTTTGTGTCTCAGTGGCTTTATTGCCTTGCTTGGGATGAACTTGATAAAAAAGAAACAAACAAAAACAAAAAGAACTATGCATACAATATATATCACTTTTCTCTGTCTTTCTCTCATACTTCCTCCCAAAAATGACTACATCCCACTCAAATAAAACAAGAATTAAAATAATGCCTGTCAATTCAGATCAACAAACACCTGAAGAAGGGCATAACAGTTGAAACGTGATTATAATAACAACGATGAAGTCATTAGTTTAAATGTAATTATAAATTCTCATTCCAGAAATTTAGTCTGAGGAAAGTTGTCTGGCATTGATTTGGAGTGTTGATGTAGCATTAGAGTTCCTATGGGGCAACTGAAAGTAGACACATAATGCAAACATCAAGGCTAGAAAACCATACAAAACTTGCTATTCTCCCTGCATATTCATTCAAATGAAGGCTGGTGGAAAAGGAACAAATAAATGTCAAGCAAGAGGTTTCCATATTGCAAGTCATTAAGTTCAAAGTTCATTTTTTTGATGACCTCACCTCCAGATTTATTGTGCTAAAAAGTACTGGGTGAATGAAAAGTAGAGATAAATGATTGCCTTGCAAATAATCTATGAACATTAATATTTCAATACTAACATTTTTGGGTTATACAGCATTTTTATATGTGTGTTCATGGACAAATACATGAAATTATGATATGTACTTAAGTCACATGAGTTTATGTGCATAGTTTTCATTCATTATGTTATAATGAGCCTTTCTTTTGAACACAGCCTCTATGATTCTTCTTTGCCAAGACATGATGTGTAATATTGTTATGATGTTGATTTGGGGTTAGTAGAGACAAACGCCAAATAACATGTAACAATAAAAAGGGTTTTAATAGGTTGGTAAAAAGGTACAGAAATCGCCTGAGTAGTCAATAACTACCTCAGCTAAGAACTTCTCGGTCTATCTGTCTTCTTTCCATGTCAACTGACATGCCACTATTTAAAGTCTTTGTTCACAGACGCAGACAAGTTCATCTTCAAGAGGGGTGGTAGGTTTCCGACACAACAAATATATTACAAAAATATTTTAGTTATATTAATTTTAGATTATTATTAATAAGGTCAAAATGAATAATAATGGTTGATAGGGCTTTATCTAATAAAAAATAAAATTTGAAGATAAAAGTAAATACTAGACAAAAATTAATAATAATGTTTGATAATGTTTCATCTAATAGAAAAATGAAGATGAAAGTAAGTACTAGTCAAAAGTTGACAATATTTCATCTAATAAAAAAAAAAAATGTGTGTCAAAAAAGAAGAATTAGTGCAGGTTTGACAACATGTCAACATTCCCAGCAATGTGTTTGACTGCTGCAAATTCAGAACAGAAACTTCGAACTAGTGTATATCATACTGTGAGTGTGCTTGCCACTTCAGAGGCCCACAAGGAAATTGAGGAATTGTTTTGTGCTTAGCTTAAATATAGCAAAAGCATTTTCATGAATGGCAGAGAGACACTGACAAATAATTGCTGGTTATTTCTGCTGCCACTTGCAATAAACACATGCTAATCATGGCCGTTTTTCCTTTTTATAGAAAACGAAAGTAAATTCTTGTCAAAATTTAATAAATGGTTGACAATGTTACATCTATTAAAAAATGAGATGAAAGTAAATATTTTTCAAAAATGAATTATAATGTTTGATAATGCTCTATCTAACAAAAAAATGAAGATGGGAGTAAATACTTGTCAAAAATTAATAATAATGGTTGATAATGCTTCATCTAATAAAATATAAAATCAAAATGAAGATGAAAGTAAATACCTTTTCAAAAGGAATAATAATCATTAAAAATGCTTCATACAATAAAAAATGAACATATAAGCTGTCAAAATGATTAATAATGCTTCATCTAATACAAAATAAAACTAAAATGAAGTAAATGTTTTTATAAATGTCACATAATAATAATTAACAATATAATTTTTGCATTTTCCTTTTTGATATCTTTGCAGTGATTTCGACCGACAAATGTGAGCTGTTTGACAATCATTGTCCACACATCTGGAGAAGGGCATACAGATGAAGAAAAAACAGAGATCAAAGGAATCTGTTAACGCTGGAAGATGCTCGTCTTTTATATGTGCAGCAAGGCACTCATTAACTCCATATATGTGTTTATATGTATGTGTATGTAGGTATATGCTGGGAAATATATACACATCCTTGTTAAAATGCAAACACTGAAACGCATATAGATATATTTGTTTAATATATAAAATTTACCTGCATCAACTTATAATTACTTACATATATACGAAGCTGAGTGCATCACATTTAAGAATAAATACAGAGGATAATATCTCTCTCTCTCTCTCTCTATATATATATATATATATATATATATATATATATATATATATATATATAAATATATATATATATATAAATGAAATTAAATGGTGACTTGTTCTGACTGAATTTTATAGATATCATATCCACTTCTCAGGAAATTCAACAGTAAAATTTTAAAACCAAGTCTCCCGAAAAGTGAATAGAATTCTGTCAAATTCAGAGCAGAGTCAAGATATCTAAGCATTTAATTTAATTTGATTTAATTTAATTTAATTTATTAATGCTCTGTCTCTTGATATCAAGCACTCTAATTACAAAGATTGCTTGCCTTAAAGACGCTATCTTCCAGAAATACTCTGGTTGACTTTCATTTATTGGTGAATAACAATCATCATCATCATTATTATTATTATATATATAGAGAGAGATAGATATATCGATAGACAGAGAGTGGGAGAAAATGAAAATGTAGACAATATGTTTCATCCTCTGATGGACTTTATCAAGGCAAATGTAAGAATTTTATTTTGTAACAAGTATTTATAAATAAAAGTAAAAAATGGCATTTGTTTTATAAAATTTAATAATTTGAGAACACTCATAAATAACCAGGTTAACAGGAAAAGTCAAGGTAAATTATGGCGGACGCTAAGTGATGTAATTTAATGTCGAATAAACAAAACTGAATAAATATTTTTTGTCTTTATTCATATTGTCCTTTTATAGATATAATTTTAGTTCCATATGAAATTATATATGAGTGTGTGTGTATTTTTTATATATATATATATATATATATATATATATATATATGCTCAATACAGAGTAGAGTGAATATAATTATTTATTTAAAAATTATAAAATTTCTACAATCTACATTCAACATCATCACTTGATAAAACACCAGAGGTGTTGAAACAAAATGGCTATTTCGTAGTGATTTTATAACATATTTATGTTATAATTTTTAAATAAATAATTATATATGTAAATATAAATATGTGTGTGTTGATATTTATATATGTGTGTAATTATATATCTGTGTATGCATATATATATATGTATATATATATGTGTATACATATATGTATATGTCATACATATGTGTATGTAGGAATATATGTATATATATATATATATATATATATGTGTATATATATATATATATATATATATATATATATATATATATATATATATATATATATATATATATATATATATATATATATATATATATATATATATATATATATATATATATATATATATATATATATATATATATATATATATATATATATATATATATATATATATATATATATATATATATATATATATGTGTGTGTGTGTGTGTGTGTATATATATATATATAAAATAAATCCGTGTGGTGTGTGCGTATTGATATATGTGTGTATATATATAACTTTAAAAATTAGGAGGTCAGTTGAATACGCAACCTTGATTTGAACCTTACAGTTTCATATGTGTATATAAATATAATCAGAATATTAAAAACAGTACTGTTTCGTCTGCCTTTGATATGACAAAAGGGACAGAATAGAAATTTTTGTTTTTTCTTTTTGTTTCAAGTAGAAATATTACTCTTCTCAAAGATCCGTGTTCATTTGTGTACTTGTTAAACGTTTTTTTTTGTTATTATATAATATTTAAGCTTGCAAACATTAGGTTTATATTGCCTTCATGTCCATTACACCAAGGAAAAAAAAAACAAATTGTCTAAAAAAATGTAAAAAAAATGAAAAAGCTAGAAATGGGGGGGTAAGACTGAAAAAATAATAAACCCATCGTTTTTTTTTTGTTTCCTTCTTTGTAGTAAAGTAACCTTTCTATAGTTGCAAACTTCACAACAAGCCATTTGATTGGCAATCTTAAACTTAAGCAAGCGATTGAGCCAATTGGAGTAAAGTGCCATGTAGATTTAAATTTTTCCCACTTGTGACGAATGCAGCTATTGATTTTTTTTTCATGCTAGCATGCTAGTTAACATTCGTGTCAGTCAGCTGTTGGCTCTCACGCTGGCCAATAGAATCTTCCTGCCTATTCGTGGCAGCCAGCTATTGGCTCTCACTCTGGCCAGTAGAAAATGGCCACAAACTACATGAAAACTGCTGTAGAAGCATGAAAAAATTGATTATTTCCACTATCAATGGGAGTTGGGAAATGCAAAGCTGGTCTTGGGCTTCCTGCTAACTTGGAGCATGTGCATGTAAAGTTTGGTGCAAATCTGTTGAAAATTGCAGCCGTGCATTTCACACACACACACACACACACACACACATCCTACCTTTTATAGATAGTGATAATGATTTTCATGATACTTTTTCTCTAATAGTTGGAATAGTGTCAGATGTTTCCATGAAAGAATCGTACATTTTTGTTTAATTCTGGTTAAAAGCAAAACAAACTGGACTGATATAGTTTCTACCATTTGACCGACATATATGAATATATAACAAAGTTCCAAGAAAACCCAAAATTAGAATTTTATACAAATTCCATATCTACCATACCAATTTTTGAAATCTATTTTGGTTATTTATTTCTATTTATTATTTATTACTGTACGTTTTTTTTAAACTCAAAAGTAAAGATTTTTGTGAAAGTTTCTCAATTATAAGCTAATACATATGAATGCAAATGAATACACCAAAAAAGATATAAATTATTATACAGGGTGATATATAGTGATACTAAAATCTGGACACTCAGTGCAAAAATGCATATTTTCAAGAAATGAAATTTTCAACTTTTGGAATATTAACAAATAACATCTTGAATATGATTATCATCATTTGTGATGCAAAGGTTAATGCGCTTTGCAACATTCACATGAATTCAATGCAATAAATCCACATTGCCATCAATCTTAACATATTCACTCTTTATACATTCAATCAAGTGTGTTGCATCTGTGATTTTCATTCAGTACACCTTCTCCTTTAGGATACCCCAGAAAAAGAAGTCAGTAATCTGTGGAGGTAAAATAAAATATACTTAATGAGATTTCCTGTGTCCAGACTTTAGGGACACACCCTGTATCTATTTATTTATCTATCTATATACGCACACTCTGTCTCACACGCGCAGACACATATATATAGATAATGAAAAGACAAAAGGAAGATTTTTCTTTACCAAGACATTTTGTCCCTTGAGGAACATTATCAAAGTAAATGTGAAGATTTTATTTTCATAAAGTTCCTCAAGGGATGAAAAGCTTTGGTAAAGAAAAGTTTTCCTTTTGTCTTTTATTATATATATTGTCTTTACATATATATTTTATTTATAGCTGAAATTTTATACACACATACACACATCATCATCATCATCCATTTCACACTCCTACTTGGTATTTTGAACAGGAGTAGTGACTTTGAAGTTTCTTGGTAAAATTTCCAGTCTTCAGAGGTTCTGGTTTTAAATAGTATTTCCAATGTTTTTGCAAATTTTTGCAATTTTGAAGAAAAATTTACACCTGGACAAAAAATTTACAGCTGAAAAAAATGAAGATGTAAACAAAATCAAAATTCCATGAACATATGCATGTAAAAGAACGTTAAATTTATGAATAGGCACATGTACAAAATGGAGTAAAAAAGCAAATTGAAAAAGATGTGGAACAAATTAATAGAATTGAAAAAAAATGTGAAATACCGTTGAAAACCAGAACCTCTGAAGACTGGAAATTTTACCAAGAAACATTGAAGTCGGTATAAAATCGATATTTTAAAGTTAAGTAATCTTTATATATATATATATATATATATATATATATATGTAAATTTCCAAAAAAAGTAAATAAATCCGAGAAATGAGCAACTAAATGATAATAATGTGGGGTTTGCATTCACACACACACATGCACACGAACACACAAGAAAATTAAAGGGTGATAACTAGTAAATATCTCATTATAGAATACTACACCTTATTTATTTATATTTGTGTAAAGCATCTGGATGGAAAAAAAACCATAAAAAGAAGCCCCTTTTCTGAATATATTAGAAAAAAAATTTAATCTGAGGGATTGAAATCATAGATAATCTCTTAATATAATTTTCTAGCAAAGTGTTTCCCAATAGGTCACAGGTTGTCTTGTATAATTAACTGAATCTTTATAAGTGTGTGTTATTTTTTTAATGGACAACATTCATGTACAACTATAATAAAAAATTGCATTTATAATTGACAACTAGTTTTTATTTTACAAAATTATTTAAAAACAATCAGCCTGATTTTTCACACCAATCCTCTAGGCCATAATGATAATAAGCTGTTTCCTTTTTTTTTTTAATCATTTCACCCCAAGCAAGGTGATAATACCACTAAGACACAAGGTTTTACTGGGAGTGAAAGAGAATGAGAAGATTTTAGTGAAAAGGAAGGACAATAAAAAACCAAGATTCAGGAACATAGATTAAATGGTCAAGAGTTAATCATAATGGGATATCTAATATTAGCTGTTTCTTTATAAGGAAACATTCTGCATTCCTTGAAGCACCAGTCAATTCTACTGGTGATTGAAATTTATAAAATCTTTCCCATAAAACAATCTTTCAAGATAATAAGTTTATCAAGTCCAGTATCTATTATCACTCTTTCCAGTACTGATGGGGGTTTCCTTCCTAACCTTTT